TATCTACTTAACATTGTGCGAGGTCGGTGCATCGACATCGTGAATTGTCACCGAAATTTCCAAGCAGCAAATGCATCCTCATCGAAATGGGTAAATTTACTATTAACCCTTTGCACTCGAGGGCTCCGGAGCGGAGCCATTTAAAATTTGTCTTCAAACTCGAGGGCTCCGCTACGGAGACAATGCAAATAATTTTCAGTTTTTAACATAAGAACAAAAACAAATCGTAAAAATTAGTTATAGGATGTTTCGCTGTTGGTGACAAATGACGTTTGTATCCATAAACAATTAAAAAAATAATAACATACAACGATGACTTTTCTTTTAATGCTTATATCATGAACTTACATGTGAATATGATCTTTTCACTAAAATGGCTTCGAGTTGCTGGTAATATGACTCAAAAAAAACTTCGAGTGCAAAGAGTTAATGATATTCTTCGCAATTCTTAAATAAATATATACCTCGTGTTCTTTGACGGGATTTATTATAAAATTAGCATCGCGAATCGTCCGTTGAATTCTGTTTGGATACGGAATTATTGAAACAAAAATATCTTTTGCGCGAGTTTGCCGGAATTTTTGTATCGTTAATCTTCACTGGAATCGGCTCGATTGATAATTAAATTAAATTAAAAATTAGTAAATATTCTTCGGACGTTCTAAAATAAAGTTGAACAGCGTTTTTCTGAAAAATATCACTATCAGCAGCTCCGGCACATTTTTGGAGCAAAGCGCCTGAGATAAAGGAAGTCTTATTTCGAACGGAAAAGATTACACGTCCTTGTGAAAGCGTTCGATTTTATTCATTTTATGTCGCTAAGTATAAAAATGGGCAAAAAATGTTTTAATCGTAATGGTACACGCGCTAAGCACGTTTTCACTGCAAATAACAATTGTCAACGTCGACAAGAACATAGCATCTTCGGTGTAATCATGCTAAAATCATTGGGCTCCACAGCAATAAAATAAATAAATCCTTCGGATTTACGGAACAACAAGTGACGGATGTCTCCATAGCGGAACCAACAGAGCGCTATGGGTTAAACTTTACTTCGAAGGCGACTTTATTTGCTCGAATTTGTACAAAATGAAAATATTAACCCTTTGCACTGGAGTGGCGACTCTGAGGCACCGCCAAGAGTGTTGCATCACGTTCCGTATATTATCAAAGTTTACATTTCTTGAAAATCATTAAAAGCGTAACTCTTGTATGAATGGCGAGACTCAGTTTCGTATACATAAAATGCACTTCGTTATATAAAATGGACATACGGTAAGGCAAAAAAATTGTTTTAGATTCACAGTTGAAGTGGCTTCGAGTGCAAAGGGTTAACCAGTATTGACATGAAGATACACAATGTTCTAAACTTTGTTTAACCGTATTCCTTTCATCAATTGTTAAATCATTATACGAGCTAGCGGTATTTTCGAAGAGAATTTTAGGACTTATTAATTTTGTCCTAGATTCTACTTCAGGACTGAATCTGTTCCTCTTGACCTCGACGACGTCTCGACTTCGCTTGGCACGATTTCCTTTCGATCTTTCACCGACATCAGATAGAAAATGAATCGGCATAGCGTTCGGCCTTTCAAGTGTAACCGTGCCCTTCTGAAATGACACTGAAGAGGTACGAAACGCTTCGAACTTGTTTATCATTGCCTACTCCCCTGCCTGATCGGCGCAGTGGAAACACCTATTTTACAAGTATCGGCTCATTCCGGTGGCAGAGCCACGCGGCTTAGGCTGCGTGACAAGGCCGAGCCAGTCGAAAGAAGCCTTTGGGAAGGAAAGGCGAACCGTCTACGGTTTACCTCGCCGCAAAATTTCTGTGACGCTAAAAGTTTACTTCCCACGAGTTCCCCCGGGAGGCGCAGATGTTCCCATCGGTGCTCGCCGATAAATTACTTTTTGAAATTATATTTCTACAAGTGTGATACTGCTACAGTCGTGTTACTATAGCGGGTACACGAAAATTTCACAGAGCACCTGTATGCTGTATCAGAAGTAAACCTTTAACGCTTTCACAACCGCATGTTATTAACCCTAGAAAGATAACCATATGACAACGTACGTAAAAGATAACCATACGCTTCAGAGGCGCATGCTTTTCTAAGGCATCAATTTTATACTAACAATGGATATTTATTTAAGTTAATCTAGTCATTTTAAAGGTTTGGCATTATTGTAAAAATAAAATGCATTTATATTATATTTTTTTATATTTTAAGTAATTTTAAACTTAAATCACTAGACCTCTATGAAAAATTAACAAAAATCAACAGTCTTCGCAGGCGCCTCTGCGACGTAGGTTATCTTTCTCGGGTTAAGAAAAGTTTTGCAAATGGCTTGCCACTGGTACCACGCGGGAGTCACCGGCAAATAGCGACTGGCCTACCAATGGTACCACGTGAGTGTCACCGGCAAATAACGACTGGTCTACCAATGACACCACACGAGTGTCACCGGCATACAACGACTGGCCTGCCCATGACACCACAGTGGTGTCAGCGGTTGTGAAAGTGTTAAGATTATAGGAACAGAAACGAAGTCGGTCCGCCATTTCTTCTTGCACCGTGACTTTGGGCCAGCTTGTAATCCGTTCCATTCAACTTCCAGTTTTCGAAGGCAACAACGCTTCCGATACCGCAACAGCAAAGGACTAATTATCGGCAGCAGGAATGCGTGCAAATACGTATTTTGATCATCGAAAAGTACGCGACCCGTTGGCGGGGTCTTGCGTTGACGAGTCGAGGAGAGAGGACGCCGAAGAGACGCGAACGAAGGACGCGCGCGACGACGACGGCGAAGAATTGACCGCGTCCTTGTTCCGCAAGCGACGCACGGTAACAAGGTTGCACAGAGAGCTTAACCGGGAGAGAGAGCGAGAGAGAGGACGGCGGCTCAGGAACCACGTGGCTCGTCAGCGAGGCCAGAGAGTATGAATGAACGCGAACGAACGCGGCGAACCGACGAACGTAACGTACTATACGATACGGAAAATGGTGCGATGGTGGGGAGGGGGAACGTAGGTACCAGTGCCGATACGCGGTGCCGGCACCGTGCGGTAAAACGTCGCCGTTCTACTCTTGCAGACGCTCGCGGACTGCCAGACACAATGGAACATCGTGTCACGATCACAATGAAAGGGGGCAGGGGCGGTAGCGGGGGCGATGAGGGCGCCACTCGAACCGGGAGACCTGCCATGAACCATTTGCATTTCGACCGGTCGGTCTCGCCTATCAAGGTGCTCCTCCTCTTTTCAGGCGGGGGTGGTTGGAAACTGAGGGATGATTTCCCTGTTCTGGCTTCTTCGCTCTAGAGTCACCTCTCCAGCCTAGTGACTTATTTACGGTCTGGCCGTTTCCCAGAAACAGCGGAACAACTGTAGACTAGTAACCGGTGTGACTAGACACAGCGACTTTTCCTAATCTAACAACTATATTCGATATTGTTGGTATATATGTTACCGTGAATGACCGAAATTGGAGAATGTCGACTTTCACCGGTGAATGTCAACAGATACCAAATACGTCGGTGAAAGATCGAATATTTCATTACATTGTTGTACATTCGGACCCTCTCCGGTGTGCGTCGACAATCACAGATATGCTCTGGTGGAGGTCCAAAATCTGTCATTGCAAAAGGAAGTGTTCCACAAATAAATGCAGTTGTAAAAGCAAGGGACTCTTGTGCAATCCGAAGTGTCATAATAGTTTAAGTTGTTGCAATAAATAAGATTTGAATCACATAAGTAAGTAATTTTTTTTATTACTGTTATTTTCTTTTCTCATGTAGAATGTACCGTGTATTTTAAATTCTTGGTCATTCCTTTCAGAAAGAGAGGCGAAAAAGTTACGTCACCCTTGTGGCGTTTTATAGCGACTGAATTACGGAGAAGAAAACATAAATCTCCAACATGTTCAACATTCGCCATCAGTGCATGGAAAATGTCAACATTTACCGGTGTAAATCAGAAATAAGGGTATTTAGCAAATATTTCGGACATACACCAAGCGACTATGCGAATGTTGACATTCACCGGTGAAAGTCGACATTCTCCAGATTTCGGTGTTTCACTGTAACATATACAACGATACACACACATAGCGACTTTTCCTAATCTAACAACTGTATTCAATATTGTTGGTATATACAACGATACTCACACACAAACACACACATACACACATGTCTACAGGTGCAATAAATAAAGGTGCAAGCCCGAGCTTCATAAATGCAAGCTCGGTCTTCAGAAGGAATAGTATAAAAGGACTGCACGTTCCAGTGCGAGACACGCTGCTTCCCATAGAACTACAGAGGCGTTCGTCAGCCTAGAAGACGATCAGTCCAGACAGTATCTCCGCGACTTCGCATACAGTTACTCTTCGTCACAGAAAGTACATTTTATATCCGCTAGGTGCTTTGTTAAACACTGTATCATATTTGTATTGCATAAATAAACAATCACGAATTCCAACAAATATTATCATTTATCAGTAAACGCCGTAATTAACCCTTTGCGCTCGAATGGCGACTCTGAGGCGCCACTACAAATTGGTATACTATTTTTCAAAATCATTCTAAGAGCATCAGACTCTTTTATACTTAAAAAAAAACTATTAAAATTGCATTGTACTTGCCAGTAGGCTCAATTTCACACGCATGAATCGCAATAAATGATATAAAATAGAAATACTGTGGATCAGAAATCATGTTTTGGATTTCGAATTCAAATAGCTTCGACTGCAAAGGGTTAAAACATGTAATAAACATGTAATGAAACATCCAGGAAAATAGGGTTCAAACGATTTAAAATAGGGTTTAGGGTATATTCGGATCTGAAATTTTAAGCCCGATATCAATTAAAAATGACATCGATTCATGGTTAAGAAAAGAACAAATTCCGCGCCATACGAACGATTCGCCTGGTTCGCGAGCGATGGACGTGGAAATGGGAAGAGACTGTGTTTGAAATAAGATGATGATCGGATACTCACCTAAGGTAAATTTGTTTAAGGCCGACCCCGCTGTTCACGCAGCCGCCAGGCAGATGGAATTGTTCGCATAGCGTGGCCCACTCGTTCCTCGTATTTACCTGAAAACGAAACGGGCAATTAATATCATTGTTCTGGAGGAAGAGTCTCGCTTGAGATAGATGTGATATCGGTGTAATAGGGTTTTTCGTGGATGCGCTATCGCAGGCTGGCTAAATGTAACACGATATAAACTGTCCGATCGGTTCTGAAGAAGATATGAAAATTCTACCGGACGAACGGGAACGATTAACCCTTCGCCGTCGAGCGGTTGATCGCCGAACTTGATTCTTTCATTGTTTCAGGCTTTAAAAACGTTTGAAAAACCCTGGAACACTTAGCGAAGTCTCCGCTTCAATGTACAATTGATAATTGAGTTTTGTTTTAGGTGGGAGGACCGGATAGAAGATATTCGAAGATAAAAATGTCGGGTGGGCACTTGAAGACCCAGGTCGCCAGCGGAGGGTTTAAGTTGCATCGGGACTCAGTTTGATGCGCGAAAGTCGGGTCAATTTGGACAGACTCGTAGAGCCGCTACTTTCGTTGAGCATTGTCGTAGGTCAGCGTTGTTCGGAGATAGGAGCACTTGAGTAAGACATCCTCCACTAGAATCTGAAGGAGCTGATGTAGAGAGGGATCTAGCAGAGAGATAAATGAGGCGGGGATAGAGGGGACTAATGAAAATGGAGTAGGGGACAGTTGGAGATAGAGCAGTGGCTTTACAGAAACAGAGGCGCTAATAGCGATGGAATGAGGATTTCGAAGCCGTACAAGGTAGAGAAGAATTAACGGAGAGGCAGGATATGTAGAGGTGCTAATTAGTGCCAGATCGGAGCTGTTAGCGCTAAACGGTCGCGTAGGCATCTCTAAATAACCGAGGGCGAGGCGGGCACCGCCGCCGTCACGAAATTCAGCGTTGCATTCCGCGAGCAATGAGAATTCCATTTCGTGTCTGGAAGTGTTCGCATCCTTCGCGAAAGGAAGTTTGCATTGTTGGCGAAGCGATTGTGAAATATCGTCGAAATTGTTACGAGCCGAGGGGCTGAGGCGGTGATGCGTGACCGAGGAATCATTCGATTGAGACAAAGAAAGAGTTTGTTAGTTGCGGACGAGCCGCGATGTTTGTTTCGCCACCGGGATCCATGGGAAGAGGTACTTGCGGACGAGCCGACGTTTGCTTCACCGTCGGAACCCGCAAGTGGTAGGTACACGTGGATGAGCCGGCGTTTGATTCGCCGCCGGGACCCACGAAGGGAGGAAAAGGTATAGGGAATTGTTAGTTTAGCCTCGTAACACTTCTTAAGATGGTGTGCACTTCGTGCGGCAAAAGTGCAACGTGGCGAGCTTGATACAGTAATGTCTCCCTTACTGACGCTCGGATTGCGCACAAAAATGGACAATTTGGGAAAAGGAGACACGATTGTTCGAGCGCTGCAGCTCTCGTTTTTATGATCGTTGACAATTCGTGACTATAAAAATAAACCGCGAAGCTCGAATAATTGCATCTCCGCTTCCCAAATTGTCCAAATTTTCTGGGCAATCTCAGCGTCGATAAGGGAGACATTACTGTACTAGTAACTGAAATCGGTAAGAGGATGCGAATTGAAAGAATTGAGTTAACTCGATATACTAAGACCCAACACTATACTTAGGCATACTACCCAGTGAATTAGGACCTTAGAAGTGCTTAAATATGAAGTGTTTTCACAGAGCAGTCGGCAGACAGGGCAAGTCAGAAGGCCTATGCGCGATTCTCGCCGGTACAAACGCAGGTATCGATTCTAGGATATTACCAAATATAATAATAATAATAATAATAATAATAATATATGTAAAATGTGCCTACCAATGTATGGTTCAAATATCAGGTTTCTCAGAATTGTATTACCAGCCGCATTGGTTCGAAAAAGGGCGACTCTTTTCCCTGATCAAAAGACCCCTTATACTACGCTCGTCGGAAAATCAAGGGTCGTGAAGAAAAGATTAGGAAGAGTCTCCGTGAACGTGAAAAATGTCTCCGTAAATAAGAAAATAAATCTGCGGATGGTAGAAGCTAATAATGTTGGGACGAACGTTTGTCGAAATTTATGATCCGCCTAATTGCTCTCGATATTCGTTAACGGGGGCTCGTTTTGCAACCACGGAAGGACTTACGCGGCTATTTATAGACCCTATTATTTATAGCCGACTGTCTCTTTGAACCGCGGCGCGGATGAAAGGATGAGGCAGGGGTGAAATTTCACAGGAGGATACCAGGAAATTTGATTCTTACTTAAACAGAGAATGCAATCGAAACAGAAGACTCGCACAGTCCGCGGTGGCCACCTTGGGGGAACAGAGCAAAATGAATGTCTTTGTTCGCGGGGCGAGCCATTGTTTACTTTTCATTAATACGCTTTTTTCATTTTCACAAACACTTCGATAAACACCGCCGCGTCTGTTACGACAGTCACCAGGCTCGATAACGAGCTCCTGATAACTGCGATCGATACACGGTCCCTTATCAGAAACGTGAATGAACCGTCGCCACTAACTTCTCCGCTGCTTTCATTTTTTTCCCCCATAAGTCCTCCCACGCGCCGCGAAGGGAGTCTCCGAGAGATTGTTCGACGGCTCGTGAATGTATTTCAGGTGACCTATTTATACCTTTCGAACGTAGGCTTATAGCGTACTATTTATAATTGGAGCGTGCTCGTGAACCGTACGACGCCAGGCTTCTTCGAACCGAACGGTGAACCTAAGCGCGCTAAGAGCCCCGGTCTCTGCATGTTGACTCCGTCGTATCGATCGCACAGGGGCGACATTAACCTATTCAAAGGCCAAAATCTTCGATTTGATTTTGATCAAGCGAACCAAATCTTACCGCGACCGCTGGGCGACTAAATATCCAAACGAAGTTTTAACCTCGTGGGGTAGCGGAGCCTGCTACTGCGGGGTGACCAATTGCTGCGCGTTTGCTTTGTTCTTCGACATAATGTACTTTATATTAATCGAATAAGAGATATTACACGTTTTTATGCAAACATAAACAAGATGAAAGAATATGAAAATTTAACCAGCTCCGCCACCCTACGACGACTTTTGTATTTGTGAAATTTGTACTCATCTGTGTGTATATACGGATGAAGAATCTTTTGTTATAAACAGAAAATAAAACTTTACAATAATAATAATAATTAAATAAATAAATAGTGATTAAATAATAATAATAATATATAATTATTAATATATATAATTATAATTATAATATATAATTATTATATTATATATTATTATATTATATTATATATTATATATATAATATATAATTATAATATATAATTATTAAATAATAATAATAATAATAATAAATGTACATATAATTAATTGAAAATGAAAATAAAACAAATTTTTAGAATCGATGTAAAAAATAAAAACAGCTGAATTCCTTCGAAAACGACTGTGCTTCAAACGCGGCGTAGCTTTAAAAAAAACGGTGCTTCGCCTTCGAACGGCGGGCATTGAGACAATTTTGGTCGGTGTTACAAAATGCTCTATCTAAATTCTAATCTTCTAGCAGCCGGTTGGAATTATCGGCTATTTAAATTGGAGGAAAATTGTTTGTTGGCAAAACGTCTTCAAGATTCTGCATCGAGGCCACCGCGGGCCAATGGCTTCTGTTTTCGGCGGACGCGTCGCCAAACGCGTTGTACCGAATATACCGAGAGCGAAGATGAATACCGAGGCTCGGCGAGAGCAGCAACACACAGTTCCTCGAGAATTCCTGGTAGTGAGAAGAGCCGAGATAAAACGCGAGCTCCACCGCCGGGATATAAATTTGTTCTGTGGGGCGCGTTGGAAAAATAACCGCAGAAACTCCGGTTACGCGCGCACATGTGTCGCGTGTTTATGGACGGATCAAGAGGGTGCGTGCCTGCGTCGCGCCGCGCACAGCGCTTTAAAACGGGAATCCGACTGCGAAAAAGGCTCGATTTCGATCATTTTCTGTTACGCAACTTTCGATGTTTTCATGCTTCTAAAATCACCAACGATCGTAAGGGCTGTTATTTGTTTCTGAAAATTATTCTGTCTTGAATAATATCGTTCAATGGTCTCTTTTCTCTAATTATTGTAACGTTATAAATTTCAGAGACTGTAGCGAAAACTGCGCACATTTAGATTTACAACTGAGAAATGGAAAGAACTGAGTAGACATTCCGGAACATACGCTCGAAAATGATCGAACTTCTAACGATTATGTTAGATCGAATCATAAATAACATTTGTTGTCAGAGATTTATTTCGTTTCTTTTCTTTTCTTCTTTTTTTGTTCATTTTGAACCTACTTAGTGAAAGCAAAAACTCGTTCGTCCCGGTGACTCAAAGTGGGTAGATACGAACAGTAGATTCTACCTAACTGCATCAGAAGTTATTTATGACACGATCTAAGTTTGATTTCTGAAGTAGAACTATTCAAATCGGTACGGATTGGTAAAGATGATTATTTGATCCTATAATGCAAGTCTAGCATTTTTTTTTTAATATTTTTCATGTGTTTTCAAACAAAAGTTATACGATACACTCCCTTACGATTGAAACATAAAAAAAAAGAAACAACCACGGCAAATTGTAAGCTTTTACTTTGAATATTTCAAATTTTTGTAGAAAATAATTCTACAACGTCGTAATTATCACTGATCTAACTTACTTTCCACGATCTATCTGTTTCTAATATGAAATATATATTTTTGAACGGGGTCGGAGGCCCGTTTTAAAACGCTGCGCGCGATTTTCGTTTGCTCGCACACAAGAAATCTTGGCTTCGGCTTTTTCTCGTGTACCACTGCGATTCCCAATTGAACCACTCGTTCGACCTAATATTAAATATTGTTCAACGTTGCCAGGAACATGCGTGTTACCGTCCCGGCACTGATCCCAGCATAAATGACCAAGGGGTTTAATCCTGTCTCGGGGGTGGGATCTCAGGAAAAGGGGTGTACAGGACGTGGCGCCACGACTGTCCCGTGCCGTCGCGCTGTATTAATTATTCGAGGAAAATAAAATTCAATGAACCGTCGGCAGA